CTCACTTGGAGGCATCCTCATGGAGATCAGGAGGAGGGCCATCGGGCTCTGCAGGTGTCCAGCAGAGAGGGGATGGTGCTGCCCCCAGCCTACGCTGCCTGCCAAGAGGGAAAGGAGGAATTGTGGGAGGAAGTGTGGTCACCTTTACAGACATCCCGAGTGGACACTAGAGAAAATGAGCTTCTAAACAGCAACAACTTGATAATACTGGAAGGTTCAGCGTGATTCCAGAGAAAAGGTCAACTTCCAAAACACGAGCCTCCCTCTACCTTGGCAACAGCCGTTAGAAAGAGCAGTGAGAACACGGAGGTGTTTGTGTTTGTAGGAATTGATCCATCCATCGGAGGACTCCTGAGGCTTTGGGAGAGCACGCTTATTTCTGTTAGAGAACCCAGAACAGGATGCATCCAGGAAAGAGAGGAAAGACACTGTAAGGTAGCATTTAAAACAGCACAGTTCTGCATTTAACAGTCAACTCGACTCCAATCACAATCTCATTAGCACTCTAGAGGCCTAATTAGCTTATTTTTGCATTTGCATGGCTGACAAAGCTGACCACCAGATAAATAAGGGTTTTTGAACAGAGGAGCAAGACGGAGGCTCAGACTAGGCACTAGACCCCTTTGAAGCTGCAGAGCAGAGAACAGAGTTCAGAAAGAGGTGGAGGCTTTGCCTCTGGAAAAAGGAGAGCTTGAGACTGTTCAGTGTCTGTTTGGAAGACAGACTTGCTCTTAGTTCCACCAGTGAACTTGGATGCTAAAGTCCTAAGTGTAAATGACAGACCGTGAGGTTCTCTAAGGAGAGAAAGGGTCGGGAGACATCCTTGCAACCTGGGCAGGGAAGAGCTCCCTGAGTGGGACCTGACCATGTCCCCCGTAGTGGAGGTCAGAGTGCAGACCTCACTCACCCAGACTCTGCAGAGTTAGAGGGAAAGTGCTGTGACCAACTCAGAAGACAGACACCCCTATCGCCCAGAGGAGGGGTCACCCCAGGGGCCAACACTCCCGTGAGACTGCCAGCCTTGGCAGCAACCAGACGCATGCACACCTAAGAGATGATTTTCACCTCACACCCAACCAGTTCACAAAAACTTGAAAGTCAAATAACACCAAGCGTCGGTGAGCTGGGAGGGATCTCTCCTCCTACGGGCAGTGGAGAGGACCCTGCAGAGCTGGTGGCACTCACCCAGCCTGCTGTCACCACCCTCCCCCCAGACCATGCAGACAGGCTGGAGGCCTGGCCCAGCCCCAGGGCCCCATGCAGCAGTGAGAAGCAAGGCCCAGGGCCAGCACCACCCTGTGGGCAGATCTGAAGGACACTCAGCCCAGCGCAAGGCACACGTGATGGTGTGAAGCAGCAGCACAGGAGCAAGCCAGACACGCAACACAGAACACGCACACATGGAACAGCTTGTGTGCCCGAACACAAGCAGGAAACACACGCAGACACATGGCACACAGAGAACACGTATGCAATAACACACACAGTGCACACACACATATGCACATATACGCATGGTGCACACACGCATATGCACATACACACACGGTGCACACACACACATATGCACATACACATATAGTACACACACATATGCACATACACACACTGCACACACACATATGCATACACACACAATGCACACACACACATATGCATACACACACAGTGCACACACACAGTGCACACACACATATGCACATACACACACAGTGCACACACACATATGCACACATACAGTGCACACACACATATGCACATACACACACAGTACACACACACATATGCACATACACACAGTGCACACACACATATGCACACACACAGTGCACACAACAGTGCACACACACATATGCACATACACACATGTATGCACATACACACAGTGCACACACACATATGCATACACACACATATGCACACACACAGTGCACACACACATATGCACATACACACAGTGCACACATACATATGCACACACACAGTGCACACACACATATGCACATATACACACAGTGCACACACATATGCACACACAGTGCACACACACATATGCACATACACACACAGTACACACATATGCACATACACACACAGTACACACACATATGCACATACACACAGTGCACACACACATATGCACATACACACATGTATGCACATACACACAGTGCACACACATATGCATACACACAGTACACACACACATATGCACATACACACACAGTGCACACACACAGTGCACATACACACACAGTGCACACACACATATGCACACACACACAGTGCACACACACATATGCACATACACACACAGTACACACACATATGCACATACACACAGTGCACACACATATGCATACACACAGTACACACACATATGCACACACAGTGCACACACACATATGCACATACACACACAGTGCACACACACATG